TGTATAGGGAAATGCTGGAGAGTGGACTGGTGCCAGAAGAAATGTGTGAGGGGCTCATCATACTGATGTATAAGAAGGGGGACCGGAGAGAGTTGGGAAACTGGCGTCCAGTTACGCTCCTGAACTCGGACTACAAGATTATGGCAAAAATAGCTGCGACGCGACTGGGGAAGGTGGTGGAGGGAGTAATCGAACCCGACCAGACGTGTGCGGTGGCAGGAAGAAGGATTTCGGACTCCCTGATTTTATTAAGGGAGGCAATAGAGGTAGAAGGAGAGAGGGGATGCCCCCTAGGGCTTCTTAGCCTGGATCTTGAGAAGGCTTTCGACCGCCTCTCGCACGAGTATATGTTCGCAGTGTTGGAAAAAATAGGAGTGAGGGGACCCTTGGTCGATTGGGTGAGGCGGCTTTACCAAGGGCTCAAGACCAGACTACTGATAAATGGGGAGCTCTCGGGGACAATTCCAGTAGAGTCAGGGGTGAGACAGGGGTGCCCGGTGTCCGCGGTTCTATTTGTAATGTGTATGGAACCCCTTGCACAGGCAATAAGAAACAATGAGGAGATTAAGGGAGTGACCATCCCCGGGAATAAGGAACAGGGGAAGGTGGCGCTATATATGGATGACGTAGTCGTGCTCTGTAGGGACGTGGCATCAGTGTGGGGGGCCATGAAGGAGACAAACCGCTTCGGCCTGGCCTCCGGCTTGAAGGTGAATGCGAGGAAGAGCGAATTGATGGCCTTCGGGGACCCGAGACTATTTGAGGGTCGGCCGCCTGAGTTGGGGATAAAGACGGAGGAAGTCAAGGTCTTGGGAGTGTCCTTTTTCCGAGAAAGGTCGGCGGAACGAAACTGGGACGGGAGGATAAAGCAGGTAAAGGGACAGTTAGGCAAGTGGGCCGGGAGACGGCTCACGATGGAAGGGAGGATTCTGGTAGTGAGGGTGGTGGTTTTACCAACACTCGACTACCTCGCATATGTGTACCCGCCAGGTAGGAGGGAGGCAAGAATCCTGGAATCGATGTTGTTTAAATTCATTTGGGGAGGCGGGATGGATAGAGTGAAGAGAGTGGTGATGTGTAAACGCGTCGAGAACGAGGGGAAGGGTGCCCCAAATATTGCACGTGTGCTGTCCTCAATTTTTGTGTGCAACACTTTGAGGTTATTCTTTTCCGAAGAGCCCCGGGGGAAGGCCGCGTGTTATTTAAGGTATCGCCTGATGTGGCTCCTGAGGGGGCTTGGGATGACCCAATTACCGGCGGGCACGCCCTTGGCCTGGCCACAAGGATGGCTGAATGCGGCGGTGGGTGACTACATAAAAGAGTACAATTTGAGTCAGAGAGGGGGATCGTGGAACTCCAAGGAGGTATTGGCCAAAGTAAACGAAGGGGAGGCCTGCGAGGGGGTGATGGGCGCGAAGAGGACTATGTACCGTCAAGTGTGGAGGAACACTTCATCAACGGCGCTCACAAAAGAACAGAGAGATCTGTCCTGGTTGGCGGTGTGGGATAGATTGGAGACGAGGGGCTTCATGTTTTCTCGCCGAATGGCACGTTCGCCCAAATGCCCGAGGGGCTGCAACACAGATGAGGACGCGGTGCACGTCATGGTGAGGTGTCCCTTCGCACAGGAGGTGTGGAGACTGAGCAGTCCGCTGTTGTCCTGGTTTTACCCGTCGCAGGTGATAAGTCGGGACATTATGTGGGGAGTCTTAAGGGAGGTGCGGGGAGATGACAGAGATCGAACGTGGGCTATAATAGGCGCGACAAAGGAGGCCTTGTGGGGAGCTCGCAGAAAAGAGTTGGATGGGTCCCCTATATCACCGTTGGAGGTGTGCTACTGGGCGAGGAGGTTGCTAGAAAGGGTGATGGAAGTAGACCGGGTTAGGCTGGGATACAAGGCCGCAGGTGTGAAGTGGAAGTGGCCCCTACCCGGGGTGGGGTAGCGAGGGGACCGGCGGGTATAGGGAAGGGATAGTGAAGGATGGCCACGCACATTTTAGCCGGCCTGCTAAATCGTGTGGGCGAGGAATGTACGTGTTCGATCGGGGGAAGGCGATGTGATGGAGCAAGCGCATGGGTGAATGGTGGTGATGAATGTGAATAAGGGGAACGGGGCGGTGTGCGTTATGGCGGCGAGCTTTGTTTTGTTGCATTGTATGTGGGTGGAGCCCGCGGATGTGACGGAGACTCGAAGGGGCCAACCGGGGCGCCCGGGAAGGAGTGGTTTTCAGTACTCTCTTTGGTTTTCCTTGTACCCGTTGAGAAGTTAATAAAAACCTTTAAATCGCAATTACCAGCGAAACGTCGTACTCAAATTGTAAATGTTGTGGTTTCACGCTTCAACACACCGGTGGGCTAAAGCAGTGAACTAATTGTCTTTTGTCAACGTGACACTTTTTTACTGATTGGCCGTGTCGGGTGGTGGAGGGTTACGACACATTTATAAATAACGCGATCTAAACCCAAAAACGTTGATTATGAATAATATTGGTCGCGAAAGCCTACGTGTTAAACTGAGAGGCGGTATAACTGAATAAATTATGTTAAAGAACCGGGCCTATGTCGGGTGATTTGGTTATGCTGCTGAACCAGTCGCAATTAATTCGCGGCGGTATTTACGAATAAATGATGTTAATGAGTCTCCAGTGGCTGGGCATAGCTTTGCCCAAATAAGGATTTTACTTGAACGGAAATGAACAGTAACCAACAAGACATGACGTCACGCTCAAAAGTGCGGTGGCGGGGGTTGGGGGGAGCGAATACATTGGTGACATGACGTCACTAGCGGGATACACCCTCAGGCGTCTCACGCCGTCGAGGTAATGCGGAGTTGTGACGTCAGAGAGCAGGGTTAGAGTTTAAGTGTATTAAGATTCATTTTCCTTTGCTTCCTCTCTTGAACAGTCCCCGTGGGTGCGTCAGCTCAAAAACGTCAACATTATTGTGTGTGTGTGTGTGTTTACACTGTGTGTGTGTAGACTGTGTGTTGGCAGAGTAGGGGGCACAGATGGTGCATCGGCCAGTCATCTCAGTCGACCCATGACACCTGCTGGGTCTCCCCCGTGACCTCCTGCTGGGGGGCATTCGACACTTCACGTGACCTTAACGTGCACATAGCCTGGCACAAGCGCCGTGGTGACATCATCGCCACTTTTCATCAGCTGCGCAATGCTGTGTGGAAGCTACCTGGTCAGTCGCTCCGCACGGACCTTCGGGTCTTCTCGGTGACAGTCATGCCCTCCCTTCTAGAGGCATGTGAGACGTGTACCCCTCTAAATGGAACATCTGCGTGAGTTAGAAACATTCGGACTGGCATGCCCACACTCAAATTGAAGGAAGCCAAATGGTAGCACATTATCTATTTATTGCAGAGGTTCAAGGTTCAAATCCGACAGGCAGTAACATTAAACAAAACATGCAGCGTCTGCTTAACAGTGGATGTAAAACATGCTACTGTGTAATTCAAAACATATAGGTCATTGCATTTTGGTGTCAGTCCAAATTGGGGTTATTCCAAATATCCAGAAATTACATGACGGAGATTACGCACAAATTATCGCCCCCTGCTGACAGACTCATGCCCAGATGCAGGCTGGTGCAGGGCCACTTGTTGCCACACAGGAGCAGCTGCCACTTGGGGGTGCTCTTCAAGCGTTGGTAATGAGATATGCCGAGGCGATTAAACAAGCGCCATATGAATTCTAATATTATTATAACATCATGAATGCTTGAGAGCCTATTGGCTCTCGCTCCTGGTTCGAGATCTACCCAACCCACAGGTCCACAAATACCGGCCACTCTTACTCTGCAGTTGAACCTAGGGATTGAGTGTTCAACTTCACGTTCTTTAATTAAAGGCCTGTGACAAAGGTGAATCTATTGGGGCGTCATTGTCTCAAGCTTACACATCTACCGGGTCTCCATTGAAATTTGTATCATCTAAGTCCACCCACACCTCCACTTCCACAAACTGCTGGGCGTTGCCTCGTTCTGCATCAGTCAGAATTCTCCTCCTGATTCACGTTGCCGCCATCGATGTGAAGGTCTGATTTTGGAGTTGAATCTTCATCTTGACATTTTACCTTCATACTCTCTGGTTCTTTCGGTAAAGTCACGTAGATATAAAAATGCCAAAAAGAAAACACGACGTTTCGGTTGCAACACAAGCGTCCGTCTTCAGATGAGAAAAATGATCTGCTGTTGTGGCTTTATATAGGCACGGGGGGGGGGGGAGTTTAGCTGTAGGAGTTCACAGGGGAGAGGGGGGAGGGTTTGTGGCGTGCATGGACGGGTGAGGCTAGAGAAATTAGCATGTAAATGGACTTGAATTAGTAATCGGACAACAAGACACCATCTTCTCGATTCAAGTTTTGCCTGCGTTTGTATATGTGGATGGCTTCATGAACAAATCTCTGATGGTGGCCCGAGGGTTTGCAGTGCACCTTGGTCTCGGAGAAAACAATGTTCATGTGTGCCCCCTGTGAACTCCTACAGCCAAATTCTTTCCCCCCCTTTCCCCTCCCCCTCAACTGCCTTTATAAAGCCACAAAAGCAGATCATTTTTCTCACCTCAAGACGAACGCTTGTGTTGCGACTGAAACATCGTGTTTTCTTTCGTAATTGTTTCTATCTACGTGACTTTACCAAAAGAAACAGAGAGTATGGATTCCTGCAGTCACGAAAGCTTCAAATAAATATTTTACCTTCACTTCTTCGCTCTTCACTGTCACTTCACATTTCACCTTCGCCTCTTCATATTTCACCGTGATACCTTTCAAAGTGTCCAAGCTACGCCCAGTCACTAGCGATTAATTAACATAATTTATTCATAAATACCGACACGAGTTCATTGCGACTGGTTAAGCAGCCAAGTCACATCCCCCGACATGGGCCCGTTTCATTAACATAATTTATTCACTTACACCGCCGCTCATTGGGGGAGGGGATTGTGTTGAACCCCGCAAATGACGTCATGTCACCTCCAGCTGCCGCATGACGTCACGAGATAACAGGAATCTGCCGCTCCGCGCGCGCTCTCACAGATCCGAGGTGAGAAGTTCACATCGTGGTGGTTGTTGTTGTTTACCCAGGTAGAGCCTCGCATCTTCTCTCTCTCTCGTAGGGATATCAATTGAGTAGCAGCGAGTATGGAATCGATGTCCAGGCTGGAACATAACAACGCGGGGCATAGCCATGCGGGGCCTTGCCTCCTGCGCACTCGCCTAATTGCATTTGCTTTAATTCTCTGCTTAAGTTTAATTTGTCTTCACCTGGCTTACTACTTTGAAACGTTTTTTCTTTTAAAAATTTTTACAGTTTTTTTTGTATTTTACCAGGCCAAGCCCACTTGAGCTGCTATACCGCTCTTTTCCAGAAGCGACCTGCCCACAACAAAGTGGCTTTTCAACGTGTGGAAATGTGCATCGGTCAAATACTCTAAACGCGTGGCAAACTCCAAATATATATCCATAATACAGGTTTGTTTGTGTTAGATCACGTAAATAGACAAATGTGTCGTTAAAACCCCCACAACCCAACACAGACAATTAGTAAGGGTTGTCACGTAAACAGAACGTGGCCAATTTGTCACTAGTATGTGTGTCTCGATTTAAAGCTTTCGTGACTGCAGGGATTCATCTTCTTGGTTCTTTCGGTAAAGGCACGTAGAAGGGAAGTAATAAAATAATAAAAATAAAACATAATATAATAAAATTATGTTTATTTGTATTATTTTATTACTTCCCTTCTACGTGACTTTACCGAAAGAACCAAGAAGATAGTATGTGTGTGTTGGACAGCCAAGCCACAACATTTACAATCTTGAGTACGACAATTCGCCAGTAATTACAACCAGCTTCATCAGGTGGCAGCCAAATGTTGTGGCTTGGTTTTGTAGAAATATGAATCAGGTTGTTGGGTTCACAGCGCAGCACGCTTACCATTGCACTACCGCTCCCCATTCAGTAATAACTGTAACCCAGCTTAGCTCAGGTCTCAGTAATCAAACATTAAGAGTAATGTCTTGCCATGCTGGCTTTATTAGAATAGTTGAATTCTGCCAATGGATTCTGTAAATGTGTGTATATTCATCTTCTTGGTTCTTTCGGTAAAGTCACGTTGCTTGCGTTGTAGCAGAAACGTGAGAATGATTTTATTTTATTATGTTTTATTATTTTATTACTTCCCTTCTACGTGACTTTACCGAAAGAACCAAGAAGATGAATCCCTGCAGTCACGAAAGCTTTAAATCGAAATGTGTGTATATTGTCACGGGTTTTGGGTTGTGTTATACAATCGCAGGGCTTGTTTGTTTCATAATGAGGACAGCATTTAAATTTGTTACCCTTGGAGAGCTTCAGGATAGACAATTTGGATGTTTTGCCATCAGGTGGGTTTAATTGAATTGTTGCACCATACTAAGGCGCTGTGGGTAGCTGACCCGCCACCACGCTCACGGGCCGTCAGGGGGCAGCCGAGAGAGAGCGAGGTGTGTAATGGTTGACCGAGGGTTAAACCCCCGCCCCTCCGTGACCGGGGGTTGACACCCCAGACCCCCCAGGGACTGGGGGCTGAGGGGGATGATGGCCCCCCACCACTTCCTAAGACCCCTTAAAATAAGACCTTCTGGAAGGTTCTAGGGGGGGGGGTCATGAGGGGAGGGGTGACCCCGACGTAGGGATAAAAGGCCAGCCCTCGGGACGGTAGTGGCAGTACCCGCCAACTCACGCCTGAAGACATCTGAAGATATGGAGACTGGACCAAGCGGCCTCGGGGACCCTCAACCGTGGCTCTCGTGCAGCACGGGTTGTAGCGGACCGAGGTTGCTCGGATCCCCTGGGACCCTCCCCGCCCACGGCTTTCGCTAAGCAGGGGTTGAAGCGGTCCAGGGCGAGTCCCGTACCTTGGGTGGGTCGGTCCAGCCTTTCCGCCGTCGCAAGCGTAGCCGTCGCGTAGTGTCGCCGGCGTGGAGCGTAGCCGGCGTGGAGCGTAGCCGGCGTGGATCGTAGCCGGCGTCTAGCATAGCCTGGCGTGTGCAGTAGTGTGTAACGAGAGAGTGTTAAGAGTTATAATAAAACGCGTTGCCTCCAAAGAAGTCTCCGTGTGGTTAGTTATAGGACACAACAGAATGAAGGTTCAATTTTGGCATACATGTCGACAGCAAATTAGTGTAAGAGCTCTTTGCATCTCAACAAGAGATTGAAGCTGCCATTTCACAGCATGATCCTGAAGTCAAAGAAGTCCATAGCGGAAATCTTATTTTGTGTTGGCAAGCCTGTTGCTGGGTCAGTTTGGTAGAGGAGGAAATGGTAGTCATCATCACTTTGCCAGGTGATCATAGGATCGGTTTGTTTAATTTCTGTGTAGGGTATTTATTGTTCCTCAGTTGCAAGGCGATGCCTCAAGTAACATGTTGTTCAGCAGTCAGAATCACAGCGACTTCAGATGTTGCGAGTGCATTTAAGCGGCACTCATGTTAACCATGTGGAGTTAAGTCGGCATGAATGGCAACATTATACTCTGAAGTCATCTTCTCCACGGCAATCTTGAAACTGTGAACAAAAGAGTTTTCCTTATGGAGCATGCGTTGCAACAGCAATAGGACTTGCATCTTGGTGTTGATGACATTTTTGCAATGCTGGTGAGCCTGTCTAGTATTGTCAGACATGCAAGTAGATATGTGCTAATGTAGGTACGTCATTAGGTAGTGGCAGCAGACTGCCAATGTGATTATGTACCTGGCCCTGCACTTTAAATGTTGGCATGTAGCCAGATGTCAGGATGAGTTGGTTGGTGCCAAAACATGTAATTTGGAAGCATGAGTTCTATCTTCGATTGTTTTTTTCAGAATTGGCTGGCATAGGTAGTGTTGGCAGGTATCAATACATGAATAGGCTCAAGATGGTCATTAATTGTAGGCAGCTGAATCATGGTACATTTTCAACATAGCCCATGAGGGTCACCTATCCATGTCTTTGCATGGCAACAGCTGCAAGAAGTAGACATGGAACCAATGGCAACTAATGAATCAGAAGTGTAAATGAAGTGTGGAATGTGTGGAAAAGAAAGACTTCCTTTTGGCTGCAGGGTAGGCACCTGGTTGCAGCCATTGTAGTGATGTTTGCAAGCTGTCTTGCTTGATGGTGGACTGGAGTTTGATTAGCTATGGCAGCAGCCATTTGTGCTGTGTTACTTTTATATGTAGCTCATTGCTGTTGAGTTGCATTTGCTGTAGGTGCAGGCATAGCACTGGCAGCACGCCGTCCAATTTCTTGCTGCAATGGAGTTTCATAATCTGTAGGTGCAGCCATCGCAGCATTTGTACGAATGGCATCAATTATTGTCATCGCGTTTGATGAAGAGAAGCGCAAGTTTTCCGCTAGGCACATTATAGGTGGAGGTAAAAGTTAATAAGCAACAAAAAGTTAATAGTGAGTGTGTGAGTGAATGCTGTTGGTGAGATTGTTAATGAAATGATAGTCGGATGTGTAATCGTTGTAGGAATGTGAAGATAGCCGCAAAGGAACAAAGTACGTAAGTTGTTGGAGGGAGTAATTGTTTGTAATTATTGAAGTGGTTATGAATAGTATGTGTGTGTACATATGTAATAAAGGACTCGGACGCTTCTCTCTGACTTCGTGTCCTTTATTGGGTTCTTGTCTTTTCCCTCACGGCACTCTCTTAGAGACACTCTACTTGTAGCCCCCGGCTGCTATCGCTATTGTAGCCTCCTTCCTCTCCTTGCAGACTCGCTGCTAACTCCGTGTGCAGACCCCCGCTGCTAACTCTGTATGCAGACTCGCTGCCAACTCCGTATGCAGACTCCCGCTGCCAACTCCGTATGCAGACCCGCTGCCAACTGCAGCCTCCTCGCTGCTTCGGGTCGGTCACCGCTGGCCGACGGTGCCGATCCTCGCTCCCCGTGTCCGTGGCGACCTCGCCACTCTCCGCTCTCGCCCTACGTGGCCTCACTCGTTCCTGGTCTCCCGTCACTCCCTCTCCTCTTCCGGTTCCCCTCCCTCTATAGACCTGACCCCTCTCCTCCACGTGACCTAACTCCTCCCCTCATGACGTCACTTCCGGAGGGCCGTTTACGCCCGCATTACATCACCCTCCCCCGTAGAGAAAATCCAGCCGACCTCGGGATGTATGCACGAACCAGCGCCGCGAACCAACCCGAACACGTGCCGACTGTGGGTTGGGAACCTCAATGAGGCGAACCGGTCCTTGCCATGGTTTATGTAATTTAGGAGAGGTACCTGGCCGCACCTGTGGGCAATGAAGCCAGGCCAGGTCCCCCGTTTTCCAGGGGCACTCCCCCTTTGAACGTCGAGCACACCGCTCGTTCCGGGCCTGGGCTTTGGCCGTAGCCATGCGGGCTCCTTCTCTCGCCTCAGTGACACGGCGAACGTTGTCCTGAATATAATCAGGAAGAGGTTTAACAGGTCCCCTCGCTCCGGTTCCCAACTGCTCATTAATCGGCGGCACGTTTTCACGGCCGTACATGAGAAAGAACGGCGAGTATCCAGTAGCCGCGTGCGGCGTCATGCGATACGCCGAAAGCACCCCAGGGATATGCAAATCCCAATCTGATTGTTTTTCACTGACTGTATGGCACAGCATGGCGGACAGGGTCCGATTTAACCGTTCCACCATACCATCCGTTTGTGGGTGGTAGGGGGATGTCCGTACCTTTTTAGTTCCAAGAGCCGCACACACCTCCCCCAACAATTTAGACGAAAAATTCCGGCCTTGGTCTGTAAGGAGCCGCTTCGGCGCCCCCTTGTCCATAACATACCCAAATAGAAAGGCGTCTGTGATAGACGCCGCTGACTGGTCAGGCAAAGGCCAGGCCATCGGCCAGCGGGAGAGGTACTCCACCCCCACCAGCAAATACTTATTTCCCCTAGCGGATGGCGGAAAGGGTCCCAAAATATCTAACGCCACCAATTCATTAACTCGAGATACCTGAATAGATTGTATCGGCGGCACATATGGATGTTTAGGTGGCTTCCGGCGGGCACAATCGGGACACGCGCGAACGTGACCGA